GCGTGTGTATTGCTGTGGGTGTGTGTTATCATTTGGCTCATTAGGGAGTGAGTGAGTGAGTATGATGTGTGTAAGTGTGTATATTCGTGTGGGTGAGTGAGGCCTCCACATCACCGTAAGCATTTCTGTCTTGTGTGGGTGAGATATGTGGGTAGGTTTTGAGTTGTTGAGTTATATATTGGTACTATCTGTATTGTTAAATTTAGCCCGGCTGGGTATTTTGTTTTTAGACGTTGTATCCACTTATTTTCATGGGACTCTAAAATCTTTCTAATGTTATCTGCTCTGAACTTTTATATATATATATATATATATATATATATATATATATATAATCAGTCTGAGATAGATATATAGGTAAATATATGTGAACAATCTGAGATAGGTGGTGTTCAATTTCATACAACTATTTATTTTAATTTTTTTTTTTTTTAATTGATTTTCTCTCCATCTCCGTTCCTCCATTTATTTCTGTGTCTATGTGTTTTCAGATAGATAAGGAAGTTAGCTACATTGCTCCAGAGAGAATTAATAGATAGATATGAGACTAAGATATATGTGTATGTATATATATATATATATATATATATATATATATATATATATATATATATATATATATAGCCTGTTATATATTGTCGAAACAAACACAACTGTCCACTTAGTAGAAAATATCTACAGCAATATAATATCAAAAGCTACCGTAACAAAAATATTAACACAGAAGAAAATATTTGAATAGCAGCCACATAATCAACATTTAAAGAAAGATTTAAGAATTACTAAATTCAAAACAGAAAGTAACGCAAACAACACAACCCTATCAAAATATATATGGAAGCCAAAAGAAAACAACATCCCCATTAAAATTAAATGGGAAATACTAAAAAATGCAGCCCCTCACAATATCGTTAGAAAAAATTCCATAGTATGTTTAGAGGAAAAATTAGCAATAACCATGTTTAAATCCCAAAGCAAACTACTAAAAAAGAAAAAGGTGAAACGGTTAAATGCAGGCATTCAATTAAATGCTTACGCTGCCACATAAATACTAATATAAGTGAGGCAAACAAACATAATATAAAAAGCAATTCTGTTCCAATCAAAACTTCACCTGCACCCAATACCTTGTCCCCACCGATACCAAACAGAAAAAAAAACAATCAGAAAAAAAAACACTGGCAATGCCAAGAACAAATTCCCAATTCGTCACGAAACATTATAACAAAAACACAAGCGCCATCAACACCTACAACTGCCACAGCATAAAAAGCAACACGTGCTTACATGAGTACAACACATATACATATGCTTATATAAATATCTACCACTCATCACAATACAAAGATGCATATACACACATACACATGAGCGCGTTTGCGCACGTACACGTACACCTACATCCATATCAACATCAATAAAAAATGAAAACAACACATAGAGCTACACACAAAGAAATGCAAAAAAAAATAATTGCAGATGTTATCACCAAAGTTACAATAATTAACATTAAGAAAACGCAACTACTGGTACCAATAACCATACAGATATGTGTACGCCAGAGCGTACACACATGTACATGGATATATATGTAATAATAATTAAAAAAAAAAACACATATCCACAACAACATACTCAAATATTGACTGAAAAATCGGATAAGCCCTGACGAGTTTACGAAACTTCGAAGTGAGCATTACGAGGGCGACATCGATCTGTTAAGTGACAATATATTTTTCTCTCTCTCTCTCTCTATATATATATATATATATATATATATATATATATATATATATGCTCATACACACAAATACATATATATATATATATATATATATATATATATATATATATATATATAAATATAGAAAACTAGACTTGTTTCTGAAAAAACCTCGAATTTTGATTTTAATCAAATCAATCCCGAGGGAAAAAAGGGTTTTAAAAAAGAAAGAGCTACAAACATGGACTTCTGCCGACAAAAAAATCGCACAGATGCAGGTCTGAAGCCCAAAGAAAAAACCCCGATACGAGTAACAACTAACAAAATAGCTCAATACAACCGTAGAGCAGACCGAGATACACCTAGCCAAACTTTCCCTGACGATCCGTTTAGGTGAAACCTAGGTAGGTGTATCTATATATATATATATATATATATATGTATATATATATATATATGTATATATATGTATGTGTATATGTATATAAAGAACAGTAAGATATGTAATCCAGTGTCCTTATTGATATATATATATATATATTTTTTACAAAACATTGCTCAATGTAAATTTACAGAGCATAAATATTGTCAAAAACTTTCATTAAATAATATTTAAAAATAAAATTTAAAAGTCCGAGCTGGTAATATACATACTTATATTTGATATGAAAAAATAAATTTATATAATTTAAGTAATTCTATTACATTTACTAGTTTTAAAAAGAAATATAGTCTATTAGTAATTAAGAGTGAAAATATTTTAAAATTGTAGTTAAATAAAACGTATTCTAACCTAAATATACTCTAGAAAAATCTTTAAATATACAAGTAGGAAAAAATACCGAAAGTTTTTTGCCGTTAATAATAAGAAAAACTCAGACGACATGCATATAACGGATGTCAGAATTCATTGAAAAATACACACCTACCCTCCCTAAATTTAACCTCTTTTTGGAACGTAAGTCATAAAATGATACAACAATAGTTAATAAAAATAAACACGCTACCGCCCCTGTCTGAATGATTGGATTTCTCTGTATCCTTGGCAACAGTAAATCCTGAATTTATGTATGCCTTTAAAAGTCAGTAAATTTAAAAATAAGTTATTCCAATATTCGCTTGAAGATGAAATGGAACAATGCTTTTAATTTAATTATATAACTAAATTTGAAGTTTTAGCTTCCATTTTTGAAACATGGTAATTATTGTGTAGCGAAAAACATATTTGAAATCAGTTAATATATATATATATATATATATATATATATATATAATACTTCAAATGTCATTAGTGATGTATACTCGTATTTGAATAAACGCCGGTTCATTTATATATTAATATCATATCTATTCATATTCACCTTCTGGTCGGAAATTTCGAGAAATTAAAGAAAAATTTGCGATCTTCGTCAGGGTCGAGGGAACTACCGTTTAGCCCGTTGCGCCGTTAGCGTCTTGGCCATGAAGAGACGAACGACAAAATTAAATTTGACGCATTCAAGCGAAATTTCTCTGGCCAATGATCTCAACGTTTTTTTCATATCGGTTCGTAGTTTTGCATTCAAACGTAAACAATGCATTTTTAGAATGAATTTTTATTAATTCGCCAGATTTGTATCACCTTAAATGTTATTAAACGTTAGTCTTACTAATGACGTTTAAAGTGAGACAAATCTGTTGGATTAATAAAAATACATTCTAATTCATATATATATATATATATATATATATTGTGTATATTTAGGCAGCAATTTTCCATTGATGCATGTTTCATTAAATAAATATAGACATGTTTTGTCTATTTATTTTAAGTAATTTCCTTTCATATTGTCTGAAAAGCTTAATAACATTATCGTTGAAGGACGAAAGGAAATCATCATATTGATACATGTTCAAATCCAATCTAAGCTTTCACCTTACATAAGCCATTATCAAAGATGACAATTACTTTTCAATATATCAACCAATACACGGACGGAACAATAATGATAGTCTGTTTTTGTTGCATGAAAAATTTCAAAGCAACGACTAACTAGTGTATGTAAGACGCGAAAGCGAAAATCGTGTCGGAACTCGTGACGTCACACATGACCACGCGAGAGTGAAAACGAGAAGTATTAAGTAAGGAAAGCCGTTGGTATAAACCAATGGTTTATGTTATCAGTTATAGGCATTCAAGAATGTTTGTGGCGATTTATTTTGTTCAGGTTAGGTTTCAACTGTTTTATGTATATAGCTTCAAGAATCTTTAGTTTTTGTTTATTGTTTTCATGTTTATGTATAGTTGTGTTTTCAACAAGGATTTTCCTGAATTGTCTACCTAGCCAGACATGTTGTTTTAAATGCCTAAAAATGTTAGAGTTCAATGATAATGTTATTAAGCTCATCAGACAATACAAAAGGAGCTTACTTGAAATAAATAGACAAAACTTGTCTATATTATTTAATGAAACATGCATCAATATATATATATATATATATATATATATATATATATATAGTTTGACCCAAAAAGGGGAACTTTTTAACAATCAAATAAAACCAAGAATGATGGAATAAAAATATTTTATTCATAGCATTTGAAACCTTAAAACATGCCATTTAAGAAACAATGACGTAATTTTCATTTTTAAAAAATTACGTCTTGTAGATGGCATCCTCCTGAACGAATGCATTCTTGATATCTGCTGTTGAGATTCCTCATTGACTGCTGCAACATCTCAGCTGGGATACTGTGAATTCCATTTTAAATGGCGTAATGTTTACTTGCTCAAGGTCACTGCCTCGCAGTTTTGCCACTTGTTCATATCTGGCAATACGCACTTCAAAAATCCCATTTTGTGGGTCTGTTATATATATATATATATATATATATATATATATATATATATATATATATATATATATATATATATATATATATTTATATATCTACAACATGATACTTGTAGGCAGAAACTATTAGTTTAAACATGTTTGGCACCAATATTCAGACAACTTAAAGCCATTATTTGGTTACATATTTAATGGAACATTTACCTTTACATGTGTAATGAATTGATTGATTAATACGTTTTCTACGGCTTATCAATATTTTGAAGGTTATTTAAAGCCCGTAAATATTTTTAGATTGTACGTATTTTTTGCTGGGGATAATGTTTTGGTAACAGAAGTTTTATTAATTAACCCATAGCTAAAGGGAGAAGAGGTGGTTTCAAAACCTTTCCCAAGGTGTTTGCGCAGAATTGAATATAACGTACCCAAAAGGACTTGGACGATACAGCAGCTGGAATTCCCAAGCGGTCACCCATCTAGGTACTGTCCAGGCTCGACGTTGCTTACCTTTCGTGAGCATATGGGGACTGATATATCAGCGTGACGTGATCGTAAGCCTAAGTGAAAGAATGAATTGGAGAAGAACTGTCCACGAAAAGAACAACATCCTTCGAAAATACCAGAAGAAAATCGAAGAGACGGAAAGAGTTAAAATCAAAGACAGAATTATCCAACCCTATAAACTCCTATCCTATTAATCATTTTGGATGTCTCTTCAGATCCAACATTTCACACAGAGGGAAATGAATATAAGCACCTCAATTCACGGCAAAGTGTTCCCCCAACGACGGTTTTGAGGGAGAAAATATAAGTGTGGACTCTAAGGCCACATTTTTTTTGATACAATATATGTTTGCATAGTATCTGTCTTTATTTCACTGGAGCTAACCTATTAGTTAATGGTTGCTGAAGACAATAGGTTTATAATACCCAGAAATTCATACACAGATGTCCTCAAGGACACATGACAGAATGGATAAAGGCGTTGGTTAGACCCAAAGAGTATGAGCTCAATACCCGGTTAAGGCGGTGAAGAACTTTGAGAATTAACAGGAGATAACTGATAACTGACATCCATTAGATGTACATGGCACGTGGAACTAGAACAGTGAGCGAAATAAAGGGTTCAGTTCGACATTCCAACCACCACGGCCGAAACGTTGTAATAAATATGGCGATAAAGTTGAAGACAATAGTTCGAATAATATAAATAGTGTACATGATTGCATATTGCATGAAACTGCCAACCGTAATGTCGGCATTATATATATATATATATATATATATATATATATATATATATGTGTGTGTGTGTGTGTTTATATGTATGTATATGTAGATGTGTGATAATATTAATTTTTTGTACGTTGTGTGGGTCTTTATGTATGTGTGTATATAAATGTATATACTTATATATGTAGATATATACATATGTACTTAGGTGTAGATATGTGAATTAGTGTATATATTTGGGTATATGTGTATATATACGTACATATTTAAGATGTATATGTTATTATTTTATGTATTAGTCTTTATATTATTGTATGTTTAGCTTGATATTATATGTATGTAAATATATGTATAATAATAGGTATATGTATGAATATTCGTGTATATATTTAGGTTTTAATTTATTTTGCTGCATTTCCCTTCAAAATAAGTTTACTAAACAAATTTACCAGGCAACATTATTATCTATATATTAATATATTTTTATTTTTATATTTTATTTTAAAGATTTTACACTTCATTTTTATCTAATTTTTAATATTATTATGATTAATAAGATTATTTTTAGTAGTAGTAGTAAAGAATATATTATATTAAATTAATATTAGATATCTGATATTTTATTAATATTAAATATATTTTTGTTTTACCATTGATAAATTTTTTACTTTCATTTTTACATCTTAAAGTTCAAATTCAAACTTATTTTTAACTTTTATTATTGTTGTTATTAATAATATTATTAATTTTTATACTTTTCTCTGTAAAATTTAAAAATAAAATAATGTTTAATATATTATCCTATATTAATTACAATGGTATTAATCAGGATTAATAATATTATTAATAACTATCAGCATGGCGCGGCGTTGCCCGTGCTTGATTCAAAAAGCGTACGACTCATACAGCAATCGCCATCACTTGACTTAAAATATTTTTGCCCTTCCTTGCCTTTAAAGGAGTTCCCTTTGTCATGCTGATGTTGCTACATGCCTTACTTCTTGCCTATCTCACACTGCGAATTTTTTCTAAGCTCTATACTAAACATTAAATCTGGTACGAAAAAAGAACTAAACAAAATGAACACAAAACGATCAGCTTTAAAAAAGGACTCGTAACTGGAAAAACCGAATGGAAAAAGAATGTTAACAACAAATACTTTTTCACATCCAACCCAGCTCTGCGGAATCAGAATCAACATTGAGTTTAAGCAAGCGAATTAGCCAATTGGAGTAAAGTACCATGCAGATTTAAATTTTTCCCACTTGTGACGAATGCAGCTATCGATTTTTTTTTGCATTATGCATGCTAGCATGCTAGTTAATATTCGTGTCAGTCAGCTGTTGGCTCTCACGCTGGTCAATAGAATCTTCCTGCCTATTCGTGGCAGCCAGCTATTGGCTCTCACGCTAGCCAGTACAAAATGGCCGCAAACTACAAGAAAATTGTCGTAGAAGCATGAAAAAATCGATTATTTCTACTGTCGATGGGAGTTGGGAAATGCCAAGTCGGTCTTGGCATTCCCGATAACTTGAAGCATGTGAATGTAAATTTTGGTGGAAATCCGTCGAGAATTGCGGCCGTGCATTCGTTACACACACACACACACACACACACACACACACACACACACACACACACACACACACACACACACAAACACATCCTGTCTTTTATAGAGAGAGATATTATTAATATATCTTATTTTATTTTATTCATACTTTGCTGGTAACCATTCATACATTATGTATTAACTATAAATTATATTGATTTTCAAGTGTCACTGTGATATGCCGGCATATGATATCTCACTCTTCCTTCTTTTTCCCCCTCTTTGTTTCATCTTCCACCCCACCCTGCTTTAAAATTTGTCTTCCTTTTTTCATCTATTCTCTCCCTGTCTAAAATTATTTAAGAGGACAAATTGCCTGGTCTCTTAACTGAGTAAACTTGAAACTAAGTAAATGATCAAAGATGTTTTAAAAACAACCTTATCTCTACTTAACATTTCCAAGATAGACCTTTCCATAGTCCTCCCACCACCTCTGTCACCTTATATCAATCTAAAACTATCCCTCAAAAACTTATATTAAAAATAAAAGAAATATACTTCTTTGTAACTAGTGATGTGACCTGATGAACTTGGAAAAATATATTTTCTGGGAAAATAAGTTATAGTCATGTAACCTTAATACTGTTTCTTTCTTAATTATTTAATTAATATATAAAAAGACGAGGAGGATGTGAAGAAGAAGAAGTTGAAGGAGGAGGAAGAGAAGAAAATCAAGAGTATTATCAACGTATCAGTGGGAGGGGTAACTGAAATTTACATTTTTTTTAATATCCAGCCTCATATGTTGTAAAAGGAGTTTTTTACTATGTATGCAAGGAGTCAGTGTATGCAAGGACTCAATATATCCCAAGACTTCGGATTTCTGTCTCAATATATATATATATATATATATATATATATATATTGAAACAGAAATGTGTGTGTGTGTGTGTGTAGACTGTACGATATTGAAGATGAATCATTTCAGTATTTGTCTGGTGAATAGAGATATGTGGTATTGTAACGATAAACATCCCTGAAGGAGATAAGCGATGTTCGATTTCGCACCAGTATCCCCGAGAAAGATTTCTTCTCCCTATCGCCTTGAATTGAATAGCAAGGCTGACTGGGCAATCTTCTCCTGTGAAAGGCAACCAGTCTAGGAGAAGGAAAACTCTGAAATAATAACTAACCTGAAGAGTGATGTATAACGTCATACTCTCTTAGACACACTCAATCCTTCCACGGCTATATTAGAACTAATTCTCATGTGACTCTTATTGATTACGGGACACACGACATGACGTAATCGATATCTACTTGATGTATAAAGTGCGATGGGTAAATTGTCGCTATTATATATTTTTAATTTTGCGCATGAGCGTTTTTTGTGATTTTGTCGAATATATTACGGTCCGTTGGGCACTGTCTGTGAGAAAAAGAGCACCATGACACAATTCTTTCCCAAAAAATTTGGAAACGGAATGCTGCATGCTGGGCATTCGCGCTGGATGCTCCAACAAGAACATTTCAGAGTGTTTAGGTGGCAATCTGAAAATAGTGCAGAATATTCGGAAAGAGTTTCATGAGTTTAATGGTGATTACGACGGTGTATGTAGTGATCACGAATGATGGCCACGTTATGCCTCGGATCATCTTCTCACAGGAGGCCTACGTCAAGTGCCATGAGGAGGTATTGCTGTCCTGGGCCTAGAGAATGGCTACTGGAAGACTCTATGCTTGGCAACATGACTTTGCACCATGTCACACTAGCGGGAGAACCCAGTCATGACTATCAGTCAATTTCTGCGTCCGCATCACTCCTTACATCTGAGCACCTAACACCCCAGACGGCAACCCACTTGATTATTATTTGTGGGGCACAGTTGAGCGAGAGTCCAACAAAACTTTTTGTAGCACCAAAGATGAACATAAAGAAACGATTATGGCAGCATATGATATCGTTCAGAAGAGATGCAGGAAATTTCAACATCATCTGGGGGTTCTGGTTGTAGCAAATTTCGATTATATTGAATAAATTTATTCTTTAGCACTTCCAGATATATTTGTGTAATTTTCGTAATGATATCTCTTAAAATGAGATGTGAGTGTTGTTTTAATTTTTCTCTAAGTTAAATGGCAATTTGTCAATCGCACCCTGTAACTAAGTAAGGCACAGGGTAATTAGAGTGAGACACTCAAGTACGAAATGACAGTCGACGCAGGCGAATCGTCAGTGAGTTTCTTCAACAGCCGATCGATTTTCAAGAATATATGATTTTTTTCTTATCTTTTATTCTATTTATGTTCAACAAAACTGAACTATTTTTATAAACTTACATTCATTCTCGTTAATCTCGTGAGATTTGCAAAAGTGAAGACAAGAAAAAAAACTCGAGGAAGAATGCTTCTTGATTCTGTAAACATGAGTTATTTGACAATGGGCTCAAGATGGAAAAGAAAAGGGAGAAAAATGTCGAAGAGAATTATTCGTAAACAAACTGAAGAAAAAAAAAACAGCCGATGAAAAACATTTCCCATTGACAGACGGGAAATCTTAAATCTACAGATGGCCTAATAATGAATGATATATGGATAGTGAAATAACATATATGTATATAAATATACAGAGAAAATAAGTATAAACATAAGTAGAAAACGGCATTGTATTGAGGTTTAAATTAAAGAAATGAGCAAGGAATGACAGATAATATATATTGCAAAGATTGAGTTAGATTGATAGATAGATAGATAGATAGATAGATAGA